AGAAAGAAAGAAAGAAAGAAAGAAAGAAAGAAAGAAAGAAAGAAAGAAAGAAAGAAAGAAAAGAAAAGAAAAGAAAGAAAGAAAGAAAGAAAGAAAGAAAGAAAGAAAGAAAGAAGAGAGAGAGAGAGAGAGAGAGAGAGAGAGAGAGAGAGAGAAAGAAAGAAAGAAAGAAAGAAAAAGAAAGAAAGAAAGAAAGAAAGAAAGAAAGAAAGAAAGAAAGTTAATAAGCTAACATAAGAAAATACGTATTAAAATGCGACAAAAATAAAGTATTATGAGGTCTTTTATTTATTAAAAATAATCGAACAAAGAATAGCTTGTTATTATACCCTGTGCCAGCAAAGGTGCAGTGAAATGGGCATTTTCTTTTACTGTTAGTGATGCTTAAATTGTATATAAGCCTTCCACCAGGGTAAAGCTTGGAAATTTTTAAAAAATAATACAGTGACTCACTATACTGACTCCTCCAACTCCTGGCATCAAGCAATCCTCCCACCTCAGCCTCCCAAAGTGCTGCAATTATAGGCCGACAGCCACCATGCCTGAAAGCTAGGCAATTTACATCAAGTGTAATAAGAATGCTAATGCCCTATGACTCACAGTGATCTCATTTCTGGAAATATAATCTTTGGATATAATTCAGGCTAAACAAAAGGTCACATGCACAGACACAGTGAAAATCCAGGAGTAATATTTTTCTGTTTTAAAAACATATGGAATGCTTCACAAATTTGCTTGTCGTTCTTGCACAGAGGCCATGCCAATCTCTCTATTGTTCCAACTTTAGTATATGTGCTATTGAAGCAAGCATGAGTAATTTAAGATAGAGTGGTTAAGCAAAATAAGGAAGAGTTATGGGTAATTAAAAAATCTATGGTATTTATAGGCATTTAGTAACAGCTCAGTAAATATTAGCTGCTTTTATCATTTTTATGGTAACTCCACTCAGTTAAAAATTGTCATTAAAAATTTACCACTGTCATGGAACATCATGTATTTAACAGTATAATTGTAAAAACAGGTAGAGCCTGGGCACAGTGGCTCACATGTGTAATCTCAGCACTTTGGGAGGCCGAGGCAGGTGGATCACCTGAGGTCAGGGATTTAGGACTAGCCTGACCAACATGGAGAAACCCTGTCTCTACTAAAAACTACAAAATTAGCGAGGTGCGGTGGTGCCTGTAATCCTAGCTACTCAGGAGGCTGAGGCAGGAGAACTGTTTGAATCTGGGAGGTGGAGGTTGTGGTGAGCTGAGAGTGCACCACTGCTCTCCAGCCTAGGAAAAAAAGCAAAACTCCATCTCAACAACAACAAAAGTCACAGCACAATGACTCACACCTGTAATCCCAGCACTTTGGGTAGCTGAGGCGAGAGGATCACTTGAAGTCAGGACTTCAAGACCAGTCTGGCCAACATGGCGAAACCCTGTCTCTACAAAAATGCAAAAATTAGCTGGGCATGATGGCAGGTACCTGTAATCTTAGCCACTCAGGAGGCTGAGGCAGAAGAATCACTTAAACCCAGGGAGATGGAGGTTGCGGTGAGCGAAGATTGTGCCATTGCGCTCCAGCCTGGCAACAGAGCGAGACTGTCTCAAAACAAAACAAAAGAGATACAATTTGTCCCTTGTCATATGGGGGGATTTGTTTCAGCTCCCCCATATCTGTGTAGACCAAAATCCATGCAAGCACCTGTAGTCCCAGCTACTTGTGAGGCTGAGGAAGGAGGACTGCTTGAGCCCAGGAGGTTGAGGCTGCAGTGAGCCATAACTGCACCACTGCACTCCAGTCTGGGCAACAGAGTCAGAAACAAGGTTGACTTTTTAATATAATTTTTCTGTTCACTTAAGAATATGGTCAGAACTGTGGCATATGAAAATTCTTCATAAAATAATTATCTAATCAATGCTAGAATTGGGAACAGAAAATGTTTTGTTGACTATTCCTTCTTCTTGCTGTTATGTAAACTATTGCCAGTGGGCACTTACCAACCAGAAATATTATCTCAGAGCTACTCACAATGAAAGGTGATGTCTGGGGCCCAGGTGTGTTGATGTCTCCAGGCCTGGGCTATGGGTGTTGTGTGGGACTTATTTGTCCATCTATTTTCTATATTCCAGCACTGGAAAACTTGGATTTATCCATCTTGATAAGATGTCATTTAAATTTCACTTGGAAGGAACCACAAATGGAAGAAAGGTCATGAAACCACAGGATAGTACTTGTTCTCAAGGGAATCCTCAGCTGAGGTGCTTCTGTAAAAAAGGAATCACATTGTTGAAAACTCACCACAGGTCAGGTGAGGTGCCTCATATCTATAATCCCAGCCCACTGGGAGACTAAGGCAGGAGGATCCCATGAGACCAGGAGTTCAAGACCAGCCTTGGCAACACAGTGAAACCTCATCTCTATAAAAAATTAGAAAATGAGCTGCGTATGGCAGCACATTGCTATAGTCCTAGCTACCCTGGAGGCTTAAGTGGGAGGATTGCTTGAACCCAGGAAGTGGAAGCTACTGTGAGCTCTGATCTCACCACTGCACTCCAGCCCAGGTGACAGAGTGAGACCATGTCTCAAAAAACACACACACATACCCCTCAGTCTGTCCAGCCTTGACTAATGAAAAGGGTCTTCTGGTTACAGAAGAGGTGTGCTTTTTTGTAGGACAGGAAGGGACGAGCAAGCTTGTTTACAGCCTTTCCTCATCCTCTGCTTAGTTTTCCAAGAACCTTCAAGGGAGTCCCTAGGGAAAAGACCTAAATCTTCAGGTTACCAGAGAAGAAATATGCCTCCTTTGTCAATTAATAAATGGAACACCTGCCATAAAAAACAGGAAGTTCTGCTAAGATGAATCACTCCCTATGACACCAACCTATGCAGGGAACATGAGAAACTGGAGTTTGGGGACCAATAATATTGAATGCCACATTCCAGACTGTGGAGATCTCACTGCTAAATAACAGCTGGCTGTCTCCATGGGGCACTGCTGTATCTCTGACTCTCATTTCCCTGGGAGATGCTCTATTCCAGCTTTCTCTTGCATTTTGTATTCCATAGATCCTGGTGTAAGGCCTCACAACATAGCAGACTGCTGAGTCAATGCTGACCTACAGATTTGACTTCACATTTCAGCAGGAATCTTTCAGTTTGAGAAATTAAATAGGAGAAAATGGACCCAGCCTGGCACTGGCCAGCTTAGCAGTCTGAAGATAGACGCTGCTCAAACTGACTACAGTGCCTCTGAATTTCTGAGTCTGCCCTTACTCCTAGGGCTCTTTGATTGAGATTAATTTCTCCTTGTTGAAGAAATGGTTTGCCAGAATATAAAAAATTTAAAGAAAAAATATTAAAATATATTTTTTTTCCTAAAGAGCACTCAAAAGCACACTCCCACCAATGCTGGATCTATTTATCTCTTTCTTATTTTTCTGAGATAGGGTCTCACTCTGGCACCCAGACTGGAGTACAGTGGTGATATCACAGATCACTGTAGCTTTCAACTCCTGGGCTCAAGCAATCCTCCCACTTCAGCCTCCCAAGTAGCTGGAATTACAGGTGCATGCCACCATGCTTGGCTAATTTTTAAAATTTTTTGTAGAGAAGGGGTCTCACTATGTGGCCTAGGCTGGTCTTGAACTCCTAGGTCAAACTAATCCTTCTCTCTTGGCCTCCCAAAGTGCTGGAATTATAGGCTTTGGCCACCACACCCAGTCTATTTATCTTTCTCTCTCTACATATATAAAATCTTCTCATATATTAAATGTTCCTTCTTAGTTCACCTCTCACCCACCCATCTGCAGGGAGAGCAAACACAGGTCTCAGTGGGTCAGACAACCTACATGATGAAAGGAGGCTGGAGTAAAGCCAGAGACCAGGAGGAACTGTAGCAAACTGCAAGGTATTCACTTCAAGGTTTTTCAACATTGTGATGGTCAAACCAAACAGAAACAGGAAGCCCAGTTCAGTCACCAGCAGCCAACATGGGATGTTTGATCTACATGCTACAGGGCAGACTGCTTAGGATGAATGACCTGGTCTCCACCAACCTGTTCTTCAAGTCTCTCCTGCCCAGTAGTCCCTATACTCTGCTGACATGACTCACATTCACAGGACTCTCCTGACACCTTTGCTTGTTTAGTCTTTTCTCCCCAATGAATCTTTTTTTTTCTTTTTTTGATACAGAGTTCACCTCTGTTACACAGGTTTGAAGTACAGTGAGGTGATTATGACTCACTGCAGATTCCATCTCCTGGGCTCAAGTGATCTTCTCACCTCAGCCTTCCAAGTAGTTGGGATTACAAGCATGTACCACCATACCCGGCTAAGTTTCTTATGGTGATTATGATTTTGAGATGGAGTCTCACTCTATCATCCAGGCTGGAGTGCAGTAGAGCAATGTAGTCTCACTGCAACCTCCACCCCCTGGGTTCAAGTGATTCTCCTGCCTCATCCTCCTGAGTAGCTGGGATTACAGGTACACACCACCAAGCCCAGCTAATTTTTGTAATTTTAGTAGAGATGGGGTTTCACCATGTTGGCCAGGATGGTCTTGATCTCTTGTCCTTATGATCTGCCCACTTTGGCCTCCCAAAGTGCTAAGATTAGAGGCATGAGCCGCCATGCATGGCCAACATTTTTCTTTGTAAACTACTGAGCCTCATATGTTTCCTTATAGTGATGCAAAACAGACTAATATAGGAATCATACGCTAACGCTTACCAGACTGTGATGAGCACAATGACAGAAGTACAGAATGGGACTGAAGTGCTCCCAAGGGGCTTCCTGTCACATCACACAGAATGGGGTGAGACATCTTGGCTGAGACTAAAGATGAGCAAATATGAGAGTAAAAGAGTGATGATGAGGGTAGGGGAGGGTTTCCTGAAGAAGGACTAGTAAAGTCCCCCAAGGAAACTGACATTCCATGTGGCTGGAGGGTAGGAATATGGAAAGGGTGATGCAGAATAAAACTGGGAAGGTGAACCGAGGCCAGCTCTTACCAGGCCCTGTGCCGAAATTAGTTTGCACTTTATCATAAAGGCAATGGGCACTCACCAGCAGGTTTTAATCCAGAACCATTTTGACCCAATTTGCCTTTTAGAAAAATTCCTCTGGCTTCAGTCAACAGGCTGAAGTGAGCAAGCCTAGAAGTCAGGAAGACAGCTGGAGGCCTTCACAATAAACCAGTGTAAAAGAAAATAGAGCCAGGCATGGTGGTTCCTGCCTATAATTTCAAAACTTTAGAAGTCCAAGGTAGGCAGATGGCTTGAGCCCAGGTATTTGAGACCAGCCTGAGCAATGTGGTAAAACCACATCTCTACAAAAACACAAAACATTAGTTGGGGTGTGGTGGCTCATACCTGTGGTCATACCTCAGCTACCACAGAGGCTGAGGCAGGAGGATAGCTTAAGCCCAAGAGGTTGAGACTGCAGTGAGTCAAGATCGCACCACTCTGCTCCAGCCTGGGCAACAGAGGGAGACTGTCTCAAAAAGAAAAAAAAATCCCATTCTTCACCTATGAGTGCTCCAATGTTCTTATGAGAACTATGGTGACATAGTGAATCCAACTGTCATTGTAATTCAGCAATTCACACATTTAAGTTTGTGTTTGATTTTCACTAATATAAACACTGTAGATATAAGAAATAAGGAATTGTGTTTGGGCTATCAGGGAAACTCTCTGGATTTTAGACCATGACTTATCTAAGACTTGAGCTTTCTATTTTTCTCCCTGTGAGTGTTGAAGTGCAGCAGTCCCCATTTTTTTGGCACCAGGGACAAATATTATAGAAGACAATTTGTCCACAGAC